AAACAATTTTTGATTAAGACGACTTTTAGAATCGATGTACCGGATCGTACAAAAGGTATTTCATTATTAAATTATTTATATTCTTTTAGGAAAATGTTAAGGAAATCGCTAATAATGTAATTTTGAATGAGTTTTATTTATAACATCAATAATAATTAATGTAACCTCAAAAATATTAATTTTATAGTAGTATACAGCGCAATCTAATGGAGATGGAAAAAAATTTTATTAACGAAATCGATTTTAAATAAGATTCTAAACAATTTTCATTTGAAACAATTTTCGATTAAGACGATTTTTTAAATCGATGTACCGGATTGTACAAAAATTATTTCCTAATTAAATTATATATATATTTTTTTTTTATAAAAATTTAGAAAAATCTTTAATAGTGTAATTTTAAAAGAATTTTATTCATAACATCAATAATAATTAATTTAACCTCAACAATGTCAATTTTATTGTAGTATACAACGTCATCTAATGAAGTTAGAAAAAAAAATTATTAACAAAATCGATTTTAAATTAGATTCTAAACAATTTTTATTTGAAACAATTTTCGATTAAAACGACTTTTTTAATCGATGTACCAGGTCGTACAAGAGTTATTTCATAATTAAATTATTTGTTCTTCTTGTGATAAAAATTTAGGGAAATTGTTAATAACGCAATTCAAAATTCCTCAAAACTATCAATTTTATAGTGATTTACAGCGCTATCTTATGGAAATAGAACAAAAATTTATTAATAAAATCGATTTCGAATCAAATCTTATTTAAAATAATTTTCGATTAAATTAATATACAGAGATATACAAAATTTTTATCCAGAAAATTCGTTATCCCTCTCAAATTTCATTTTAGAATACGTAACAAAAACAAACAGTAATAATAAGCTTCATCCCGCTTAAAGGGGGTGATACGTGTCGCGAAAACCGAAACTAGGGGCTTGAAGGAAGAGGAAGGTCGATGAGAGTTTACGACCGAATCCCTTTTACCCTTGGGGATTTCGAAAGAAGGGGGCGGTTCCTCTCATTTGGCCAAGAGAGTTTATGCTTTGTGTTCGGAAATTGATTGGAGAGAAAACGAGGGTTTTCATATTTTTCATTTTAACAAAGTGCTTTTGATTTTATAACCAATAGAATTCGGTTCGTTCGTAACCGTATAATTCATTAACATTAATTTCCGACATGTCATCTAATAAATAACCTGGTGGACAGTGGGACAAGGAATGGTGGCCGTGGCCACGTTGTTCGACCATGCTCTACACAAACCGCGATTCCCCCTAAACCCCCTTTTCCCCGCGGGGGCGATTGTTGTCTACGCGTACAGCCTTTTAAGGTGTAATTAAATTTGCAATTGAGATTTAGTTGCACACTGGAATCTATGCAACGGACATTAAATATGCATTAGATGCGCTTCCAAGCTTTAAAGGCGCAATAAAAAGTTATCATTTAAACCACAAAATAAGCTACACTTTACTCTAAATATAATAAGTATAATAATTTAATACTGTTTAGAGTAAAGATCATAAATCATAAGTTATGTTTATGCCTAACTCGAATTTCTAAACATTATTGTACATTGAACTTTTCATTTTTAACTTTCTTTATAAAATTTTGAATGCGTTTGAGACCCATTAAAATTTCACTCGCATTCTATACTCTTCTTCTTCTTTTCATTTTATTTCCGATTCCGCAATAACAATAACCGTCGAGGTCGAGCTTTTCAAGCGGCAATTTTAGCAACGTTTCAGTCTCTATGCTCTTTTAACTTTTCAGACTGAAATTTTTTTAAAGAGAACTCTTTTATTATTTTATACTGCTTGGATAAGTCATCGTTACCACACTCATTTGAGTTATGTAACAAAGTTCATTACAGCACTGGTCACATTATGTAACACATTTTTAGCCCAATCAGAACAGACTTGATTTATTGAAAAGAGCAATAATACAAAAAGTGCTACCTATTTAAAGAGAAACAACACTATTTTTTATAAATATTAATTGTTATGTTTTGATATTTCGAAACACTTATTTCAGATGAGTAATAAAAATGACAATAATTCAAAATTGTCAACAATCATTTCAAAATATTTTGACAGTGATACAATAAAGTCTACATACAGCCCGGAAAATGATAATATCTCGGCTCCCGAAATGTAATTCAATGAAATTTTTTAACAAAACATGTAAGAAGTCCATATTATTTCCATATTTTACATAAAAACTATATAAGTTATTATTAATCAAGGGGAACACAATATAATCATATCTTTAACTCAAAAAAGTCTACATACAGTCCTAAAAACAAGTCTATCAGTGTCCGTTATAGCTTAATAAAAATATACAACTATCTAACACTGAATAACAAATAAAACTAGACTAGACATTAAATATTATTAAGGTTCTAAACAAAATTCTTTTAAAATTACATTATTAACGATTTCCCTAAATTTTTAATCAAAAGAAAACATCATTTAATTGTGAAATAACTTTTATACCGCACGGTACATCGATTCAAAAAATCGTCTTATTCGAAAATTGTTTTAAATAAAAATTGTTTAATATCTGATTTAAAATCGATTTTGTTAATAAAATTTTTTTCCATCTCCATTAAATGGCGTTGTATACTACTATAAAATTAATATTTTTGAGGTTACATCAATTATTATTAAGATTTTAAATAAAATTGTTTTAAAATTATATTACTAACGATTTCCCAAAATTTTTAATCAAAAGAAAACATAATTTAATTATGTTATTAAATAACTTTTATACCGCCCGGTACATCGTTTCAAAAATTCGTTTTAATCAAAAATTGTTTCAAATGAAAATTGTTTAGAATCTGATTTAAAATCGATCTTGTTAATAAAATCTTTTTCTATTTCCATCAGATGGCGCTGTATACTACTATAAAATTGATATTTTTGAGGTTATATTAAATATTATTAAGGTTTTAAACAAAATTCTTTTAAAATTACATTATTAACGATTTCCCTAAATTTTGAATCAAAAGAAAACATCATTTAATTGTGAAATAACTTTTATACCACTCGGTACATCGATTCAAAAAATCGTTTTAATCGAAATTTTTTTCAAATAAAAATTATTTAAAATCTGATTTAAAATCGATTTTGTTAATAAATTTTTTTTCCATCTCCATGGGATGGTGCTGTATACTACTATAACATTAATATTTTTAAAGTTATATCAATTATTATTAAGATTTTAAATAAAATTATTTTAAAATTACATTATTAACGATTTCCCTAAATTTTTAATCAAAAGAAAACATCATTTAATTGTAAAATAACTTTTTACCGCCCGGTACATCGATTCAAAAAATCGTCTTAATCGAAAATTGTTTCAAATAAAAATTGTTTAGAATCTGATTTAAAATCGATTTTGTTAACAAATTTTTTTTCCATCTCCATCAGATGGCGCTGTGTACTACTATAAAATTGATATTTTTGAGTTTACATTAATTATTATTGATGTTATAAATAAAACTCATTTAAAATTACATTATTAGCGATTTCCTTAACTTTTTGCTAAAAGAATATAATTTAATTATGAAATACCTTTTGTACGATCCGGTACATCGATTCTAAAAGTCGTCTTAATCGAAAATTGTTTCAAATAAAAATTGTTTAGAATCTGATTTAAAATCGATTTTCTTAATAAAATTTTTTTCTATCTCCATCAGATGGCGCTGTACACAACTATAAAATTGATATTTTTGAGTTTATATTGAAAATTATTTCAAATAAATTTTGATTAATAATAATTTTTCTTAATATTTCCCAAACAAAACTAAGGTGACTTTATCTTACAATGTAGAAACCAAATTAATTACCCATTTTTGAAATTTTTTTACTCAATTCGTACCAAATAATTATTATTTAGATGAGATCCCTTTAGGGCAGACGTTTATTGAACGCTTCCACTTACTTGCATTAGCAAGGTCCTCACTCAAAATCTTTTTAAGCCACATCCACATCAACCACCGCGTAAAAAATATTAATTCCCAACAAAATTCATCTTCCCCAGCATCATAAACATTTTCTCCCAAATCGTTCCAAATTTAATCGAATTCTAACGATGAGAGAGTGTTATAGTTCTAAATTGAGGTGTTTTTGAAATATTAGTTTATAGCCGCCTTTAGGGGTCGGCAGCCGTCATAAGATCGGTCAGGTTTAGACCTGGATCGTCCATAAAAAATGGCAGGTGTCCGTAAAGGACCGTGCGGCAGACGGCCTCGGGGTCTCACCTGGCTTCTTCTTCCTCCAAAAGACGAAGAACAGAAGATTAAGAATATAAGATGAAGAATATAAGACGATGAACTAAGACAAAGAACTAAGATGAAGAATATAAGACGAAGTACATAAGATAAAGTATAGAAGATGAAGTACAGAAGACGAAGAACATCGAGTTTGGGTTGGGATCCGAATGGTTTGCAGCTTGCGTCTGGAAAATGAGAAAACAAAGAGAAAGAAGGTTCTTGAATTTGGTCCGCGAGTGTGTTTACAGTCTTTTACGCCCGCCAGGTGACCTCTTGTAACCTAAATCTTACTTTGTTTAATTTTTTTTTATACTTTAATTGCTGTTAAATATTTTTTTATAAACTCAAATTATTGTTATTAAATAAAAATAAAAGTTTTTAATCTACGAATAGTTTCCTTTTGGTTTCTTAATGTAAATGTTTTTCTTTTATTACAACCCACATAGTATCGGCGATAAATTCTTTTTAACATCACCTGCTCGCTTTTAAGAAATCGCACCTGCTCAGATGATAATACAGTTCGAAACTTGAATCTTCCGTTATCTGTTTTGAAAAAAAAAAAGAAAGAATATTTTCTTTATTATTATTATATTTACTGTGATATTTTTGGAATCGCTGAAATAACTTTACTTCAAATATTTTTTAAACATGACGATAAGAAATAGAAAATAACACAATAAAAACTCAACGAAAAAATTAATTAGACCTTGTATTTAAACTACCTCCACTATTTTATAATCAGCTACTTTAGTAACGATGCCACATCAAACTTTAAAAATAATTACTTTGGTTTTATTAAGAATTATTTTAGCACAATCAACAAATCAACCAAATATCTTATTAATTTTAGCTGATGATTTGGTATGATTACAATTAAAATTAATTAGTTAATTAAAAATTTCTTTTAGGGTTACAACGACGTTGGTTATCGCGGAAATAATCAAGTTAAAACTCCCAATATAGATGCTTTGGCTTATAACGGCGCTGTTTTAGAAAGATTTTACACCCTACCAATGTGCACCCCATCAAGAGCTGCTATTTTAACTGGGAAATACCCCATAAAAACCGGATTCCAAGGATTACCATTTGATGGCGGCGAACCGGGCCATTTACCAGGAAATGTTTCAACATTACCCAAACAACTCAAAAAACTTGGTTATAAAACCCATTTGGTTGGAAAATGGCATTTGGGTTTCGCCTACAGAAACGTAACACCTTTAGCTAAAGGTTTTGATTCACATTACGGCTACTATAACGGGCTTATAAGTTATTTTGATCACACTTACCAATCTATGTCGACTGTGTCGGGCTTTGATTTCCGCGATAATTTTCGTGTTGATTGGAAGAGTAAGGGAGAATATGCAACTGATTTGTTCACAAATAGGGCGATTAAAATTATTAATGACCATGATTATCGAAAACCTATGTTTTTAATGGTGAATCATGTCGCGGTGCATACAGGAAAAGTTGTTGGAAATAAAGGTCTCGTTGAAGAAAGAAATACAACGAGTATGAATAAAAATTTTGGATATATTAAAGATGTTAATAGACGACGATTAGTTGGTAAGTATATTTTGCTATACAGGGAAATTTGTTAAACTCTCAATATATGAATGTAGTAATCACAGTTACGAAACTACTATGTACTTGCACTATCCCACATAAAATGTAATATAACTTAATAGTACAAGCATTGGGTAGTTTTGCAAAGGAAAAGTTTTGCTTGGAAAAAAAATAGCCGCACGTCTATAAAGACGGCTAAACCCGAATGATTCTAGTTCTAGATCTAGTGTTAGTTCTATTTTTACACTAGCACTGTCACTAGAACTAACGCAAGACCTAGAACTAGAATCATTCGGGTTTAACCGCACGTCTCTAGAGACGGCTAAACCCGAATGATTCTTGTTCTAGATCTAGTGTTAGTTCTAGTATTACACTAGCACTGTCACTAGAACTAACACAAGACCTAGAACTAGAATCATTCGGGCTTAGCCGCACGTCTCTAAAGACGGCTAAACCCGAATGATTCTAGTTCTAGATCTAGTGTTAGTTCTAGTTTTACACTAGCACTGTCACTAGAACTAACGCAAGACCTAGAACTAGAATCATTCGGGTTTAGCCGCACGTCTCTAAAGACGGCTAAACCCGAATGATTCTAGTTCTAGATCTAGTGTTAGTTCTAGTTTTACACTAGCACTGTCACTAGAACTAACGCAAGACCTAGAACTAGAACCATTTGAGTTTAGCTGCACGTCTCTAAATACGGCTAAACCTGAATGATTCTAGTTCTAGGTTTTGTATTAGTTCTAGTAATAGTGATGATCCAAAACTAGAACTAACACTAGACCGAGAACTAGAAATATTCGGATTTAGCCGTATATTTCTCAAGACGGCTAAACCCGAATGATTCTAGTTCTAAATTTTGTGTTAGTCCTAGTGATAGTGGTAGTGTAAAACTAGAACTAACACTGGATTTAGAACTAGAAAGTGTCGGGTTTAGCTTAATCAGGTGCGCTTTACTGCATCCGCTATGGATCTTGCTCTAGTCAGTATGTTGATCAAACGAACCAATGGATTAAAAAAGCAGTTAATCCGCATAAGAGCAACTTTAGAATCGGTAAAAATGGATGTGCCCATGCCCAACGCAGCTTAGGTTTGGGATTTGACTTTGACAACGTTAAAATCTTAGATAGGGAGAAGAAGTAGCACAACAGGCTTTTCTTAATTACAAACCTATGCAAAAACTTACACGTGATTATCTCCAACTCAACCAGAAACAAACATCATTTTGGTCGTTTGAACTAATGAGGACGTCTTATTTCACGTGACATAAAAGCTCTTTTGTTAGCTATCAACAACAGACAGTTACTAGTGATTTAGTTAAGTTAGGCTTAATGTTAAGTCTTATAACTGTTAAAAAACTCCATGTTTTATATTGCTCCTAACTAATATTTAAAATAAGAAAATCTCAGAGACACAATAGCAGTAATGCTGTAAATTAGAGTACACAAAATGACAGCTAAAACCTTTTAAGATCCACTTTGTACAAAATACGCAATTATAGAATTTTTGCTCATTTGCCGAGCATAACAGGTATAATAGGTATTCTACACTCTATATTGTGTCGATCCTGAGATTAAGTTGGCGGAGGATATGTAGAGATTTCCTCAGCTGTATTAGACTTATTTGATATAAATCTAAATTGGCCAAACTTTTCTCCCTGTCAGCAGGGTATTTGGTAAGATCGTTAAGTACGCTAACATTCTTTTAATACTAAGAAGTTTCTGTACAAGACATTGTTAAATATAATTGTAACATGATGACCAGCTCTACATAGCCAAAACATGACAGTGTGGTGTAAAAATTCGAAAGTCAGAATAATTGGGGTCAATTCTAATAGCTTATTTTTTTTATGTCGCAGAAAAAAAAATTTTCTGTTCCCCTGACACTTAACATTGCCACTAGAATTAACACTTGACCTAAAACTAAAATCATTCGGGTTTAGCCGTACGTCTCAAAAGACGGCTAAACCCAAATGTTTCTAGTTCTAAGGTTAGTGTTAGTTCAATAAAAATATACAACAACCTGGCGATGTATAATAAATAAAACTAGAACTAACATTAGACCTAGAACTGGAATCATTCGGGTTTAGTCGTCTTTAGATGCGTGCGGCTAAACCCAAATGGCTCTAGTTGTAGGTATAGTGTTCTACATAGTAACAGTGCTAGTGTAAAACTAGAACTAACACTAGACCTAGAACTAGAATCATTCGGGTTTAGCAGTCTTTAGAGACGTACGGCTAAACCCAAATGATTCTAGTTCTAGGTATAGTGTTCTACATAGTAATAGTGCTAGTGTAAAACTGGAACTAACACTAGACCTAGAACTGGAATCATTCGGGTTTAGCCGTCTTTAAAGACGTGCGGCTAAACCCAAATGATTCTAGTTCTAGGTATAGTGTTCTACATAGTAACAGTGCTAGTATAAAACTAGAACTAACACTAGACCTAGAACTAGAATCATTCGGGTTTAGCCGTCTTTAAAGATGTGCGGCTAAACCCAAATGATTCTAGTTCTAGGTATAGTGTTCTACATAGTAACAGTGCTAGTGTAAAACTAGAACTAACACTAGACCTAGAACTGGAATCATTCGGGTTTAGCAGTCTTTAGAGACGTGCGGCTAAACCCAAATGATTCTAGTTCTAGGTATAGTGTTCTACATAGTAATAGTGCTAGTGTCAAGCTAGAACTAACACTAGACCTAGAACTAGAATCATTCGGGTTTAGCCGTCTTTAGAGACGTGCGGCTAAACCCGAATGATTCTAGTTCTAGGTCTTGTGTTAGTTCTACTGATAGTGCTAGTGTAAAACTAGAACTAACACTAGACCTAGAACTAGAATCATTCGGGGTTAGCCGTCTTTAAAGACGTGCGGCTAAATCCAAATGATTCTAGTTCCAGGTATAGTGTTCTACATAGTAACAGTGCTAGTGTAAATCTAGAACTAACACTAAACCTAGAACTAGAAAGTTTCTAGTAGTTTGAATTCTTCTAGTTCTAGGTTTAGTGTTAATTCTAGTTTTAGTGCAATAGAAATATACAATATAGTGATAAATTATGCTAACACTGTCACTAGAGCTAACATTACATCTAGAAGTAGAAACATTCATGTTTAGCGGTTTCTAGGTTTCTAGTTCTAGGTCCAGTGTTAATTCTAGTCCTAGTATTAGTCTAGTTTTATTTGTTATTCAGCGCTAGATTGATAGAAATATATTTTTATATATTGTAATCTTTTTTATTCCATGATGATATTTCATGTCTTTCTCGAAATACGAATAAGGATATCATTGGTATATATTTCAGATGCTTTGAAAACTTTAGATGATTCAATCGGAAATATTATTAAAGCATTATCTGAAAAAAAAGTTTTGGATAACACAATAATCTTCTTTTTATCTGATAATGGTGGACCTACTTATAGAGAACTTTTTCCCAATTATAGCTCAAATTGGCCATTGCGTGGAGTATATCTCAAATTAAAAACCACATCTTTTTTTTGTAATTCTTTTTAATTCTTTAGATAAAAATTAGTCACTTTGAAGGCGCTGTAAGAGGAACTGGAATATTTTACAGTAAAAGTATGACTTATGGAGGGAAATCCAACTCGAATTTATTGCATATGGTCGATTTATTACCAACGTTTTATTCTGCAGCGGGTAATCGTTAATAATTTTTATAATACAACAATTAAATTAACAATTTTTTTAGGGGGTAATTTGAAAAATTTAGGCCAATTAGATGGTATAAACCAATTAGACGTTTTAATGTATAACAAAAAAACGAAACGAAAAGAAGTTTTGATTAACATCGAAGATGTATCGGGAAGTGCAGCTATAATTACAGAAAATGGTCGTTATAAATTAATCCAAGGAATACAATACAACGGAACCTACGATTCTTACGGTGGTGAAACCGGAAGAAACCCTTCAGATGGTCCCTATGATTTCAAATCGGTTATTAATAGTGATGTGAATCAAGCTTTTGGAACGAAATTAGGAATCGATTCGGTTAAAAAGCTGCGAGAAGATTTAATAACGAAAAATTGCAGGAAAGCGAAATACGAAAAATCTTGTAAATTATGTTTATTCGATTTAGAAAACGATCCATGTGAAACTACTAATTTAGCCAAATCAGAACGTGGGTTAACTAATAAAATGATTGATCGATTGGATTATTTCCGATCGGAATCGGTTCCTCAACAGCATACAAAAGTTGATCCGAAATCGAATCCGAAATATTATGGTGGTGTTTGGACTTTTTGGCTAGATAAGAAACCTTTGTAAGAAAAATAAGAATTGGTTTATAAATGATTCGTATATTTATGTTAATAAAATCGAGTAAAAACAACATTTTTCGATTTTTAACATTTTCATAAAAATTATGGCATTAAGATGTAGATATTATTAAATTGATATTATCATTTAACATTGTCACTAGAATTAATACTTGACCTAGAACTAAAATCATTCAAGTTTAGCAGTACGTCTCAAAAGATGGCTAAACCCAAATGTTTCTAGTTCTAAGTCTCGTGTTAGTTCTAGTTTTACATTAGCACCTAGAACCTAGAACTAGAATCATTTGGGTTTAGCCGCACGTCTCTAAAGACGGCTAAACCCAAATGATTCTAGTTCTAGTGTTAGTTCTAGTTTTACACTAGCACTGTTACTATGTAGAACACAATATCTAGCACTAGAATCGTTTGGATTTAGCCGTACATCTCTAAAGACGGCTAAACCCGAATGATTCTAGTTCTAGGTCTAGTGTTAATTCTAGTTGTAGATGTATAACAAATAAAACTAGAACTAACACTAGACCTAGAATTAGAAAAGTCTGAAGACACGCGGCTAAACTCGAAACTTTCTAATTCTAGGTCTAGTGTTAGTTCTAGTTTTAGTTCATTAATAATATATAATCTAGCATTATCTAGTACTTACTAGAGTTCCCCAACACTATCACTAGAACTAACACTCGACCTAGAACTAAAATCATTCTGGTTAAGCCGTATGTCTCAAAAGACTGCTAAACCCAAAGGTATCTAGTTCTAGGTCTAGTGTTAGTTCTAGTTTTAGATCAATAATGTTATCTTAAGATTACTGTCAGGAGAATTTCTTTAAATTTTTATATTTATCCCAAATTCATTTTTAACCAAAAAGTAAATTCTTCAATTTTCAACATTTTCTCAAAAAACATATTATTAACATGTAGATATTTTTCAATATTCTTAAATTACACACTTTTAGGATTAATTTGATGTAAAAATCATCCTCTTACTGCTATAAATACATTCAACGGAATTTATTTAAATTTTCGTATTTTATCACAATCTCATATTTACTAAAAACTAAATTCTTCGATTATCAACATTTTCTCAAAAACCATAGTATTAACATGTAAATATTTTTAAATATTCTTAAATGACACACTTTTAGGTTCAATTTGACATAAGAGTCATCTTCTTACTCCTATAAATACAGTCAGCAGAATTTTTTAAAATTTTTGTATTTATCCCAATTTCATTTTTAACCAAAAAGTAAACTCTTCGATTTTCAAAATTTTCTCAAAAATGGTAGTATTAACATGTAGATATTTTTAAATATTCTTAAATTACACACTTTTAGGATTCATTTGATGTAAAAATCATCCTCTTACTGCTATAAATACATTCAGTAGAGATTTTTTAAATTTTCGTATTTTATCACAATCTCATATTTACTAAAAACTAAATTCGTCGATTTTCAACATTTTCTTAAAAACCATGGTATTAACATGTAGATATTTTTAAATATTCTTAAATTATGCACTTTTAGGATTAATTTGACATAAAAATCATCTTCTTACTCCTATAAATACAGTTAGGAGAAGTTTTTTAAATTTTTGTATTTATCTCAATTTCATTTTTAACCAAAAAGTAAACTCTTCGATTTTCAAAATTTTCTCAAAAACGATAGTATTAACATGAAGATATTTTTACATATTCTTAAATTACACAATTTTAGGATTAATTTGACCTAAAAATCATCCTCTTACTGCTATAAATACATTCAGTAGAGATTTTTTAAGTTTTCGTATTTTATCACAATCTCATATTTACTAAAAACTAAATTCTTCGATTTTCAACATTTTCTCAAAAACCATGGTATTAACATGTAGATATTTTTAAATATTCTTAAATTATGCACTTTTAGGATTAATTTGATGTAAAAATCATATTCTTACTCCTATAAATACAGTCAGGAGAATTTTTTTAAATTTTTGTATTTATCCCAAATTCATTTTTAACCAAAAAGTAAATTCTTAAATTTTCAACATTTTCTCAAAAACCATAGTATTGACATGTAGATATTATTACATATTCTTAAATTATACACGTTTAGGATTAATTTGATCTAAAAATCATCCTCTTACTGCTGTAAATAGATTCAGCAGAGTTTTCTTAAATTTTCGTATTTTATCACAATCTCATATTTACCCAAAAACTCAATTCTTCGATTTTCAACATTTTCTCAAAAACCATGGTATTAACATATTGATATTTTTAAATATTCTTAAATTATGCACTCTTAGGATTAATTTGATATAAAAATCATCCTCTCACTCCTATAAATACAGTCAGGAGTATTTTTTAAAATTTTTGTATTAATCCCAATTTTTTACCAAAACTAAATGCTTCGATTTTCAACATTTTCTCAAAAACCATAGTAATAACATATAGATATTATTAAATATTCTTAAATTACACACTTTTAGGATTAATTTGATATAAGAATCATGCTCTTACTCTTATGAATACAGTAAGGAGAATTTATTAAAATTTTAGTATTTTATCACAACCTCATATTTGTCCAAAAAATAACCTCTTCGATTTTCGACATTTTCTCAAAAACCATAGTATTAACATGTAGATATTATTAAATATTCTTAGATTACACACTTTTAGGATTAATTTGATGTAAAAATCATCCTCTTACTGCTATAAATAGATTCAGCAGAGTTTTCTTAAATTTTCGTATTTTATCACAATCTCATATTTACCCAAAAACAAAATTGTTCAATATTCAACATTTTCTCAAAAAATATGGTATTAACATATTGATATTTTTAAATATTCTTAAATTATGCACTTTTAGGATTAATTTGAAATAAAAATCATCTTCTTAGTCCTATAAATACAGTCAGAAGAATTTTTTTAAATTTTTGATTTTTTATCCCAATTTCATTTTTAACCAAAAAGTAAACTGCAATTTTCAACATTTTCTCAAAAAATCATAGTATTAATATGTAGATATTATTAAATATTCTTAAATTACACACTTTTAGGATTAATTTGATGTAAAAATTATCCTCTTACCGTTATAAATACATTCAGCAGAGTTTTTTTTAATTTTCGTATTTTATCACAGTCTCGTATTTACCCAAAAACTAAATTCTTCGATTTTTAACATTTTCTCAAAAACCATGTTATTAACATATTGATATTATTAAATATTCTTAAATGACGTACTTTTAGTATTAATTTGATATAAGAATCATGCTCTTACTCCTATAAATACAGTAAGGAGAATTTGTTAAAATTTTAGTATTTTATCACAATCTCATATTTGTCCAAAAAATAACCCCTTCGATTTTCGACATTTTCTCAAAAACCATAGTATTAACATGTAGATATTATTAAATATCCTTAAATTACACACTTTTAGGATTAATTTGATGTAAAAATCATCCTCTTACTGTTATAAATACATTCAGCAGAGTTTTCTTTAGTTTTCGTATTTTACCACAGTCTCGTATTTACCCAAAAACTAAATTCTTCGATTTTTAACATTTTCTCAAAAACCATGGTATTAACATATTGATATTTTTAAATATTCTTAAATTATGTACTTTTAGGATTAATTTGATATAAAAATCATCCTCTTACTCCTATAAATACAGTAAGGAGAATTTGTTAAAATTTTAGTATTTTATCACAATTTCATATTTGTCCAAAAAATAACCTCTTCGATTTTCGACATTTTCTCAAAAACCATAGTATTAACATGTAGATATTATTAAATATTCTTAGATTACACACTTTTAGGATTAATTTGATGTAAAAATTATCCTGTTACTGCTTTAAGTGCATTCAGCAGATTTTTTTTAAATTTACGTATTTAATCACAATCTCATATTTATCCAAAAACTACGTTGTTCAATATTCAACATTTTCTCAAAAACCATGGTATTAACATATTGATATTTTTAAATATTCTTAAATTATGCACTTTTAGGATCAATTTGACATAAAAATCATCTTCTTACTCCTATAAATACAGTCAGGAGATTTTTTTTTAATTTTTGATTATTTTATCCCAATTTCATTTTTAACCAAAAAGTAAACTCTTCGATTTTCAACATTTTCTTAAAAATCATAGTATTAACATGTAGATATTATTAAATATTCTTAAATTACACACTTTTAGGATTAATTTGATGTAAAAATTATTCTCTTACTGTTATAAATACATTCAGCAGAGTTTTCTTTAATTTTCGTATTTTACCACAGTCTCGTATTTACCCAAAAACTAAATTCTTCGATTTTTAACATTTTCTCAAAAACTATGTTATTAACATATTGATATTATTAAATATTCTTAAATGACGTACTTTTAGGATTGATTTGATATAAGAATCATGCTCTTACTTCTATAAATACAGTAAGGAGAATTTGTTAAAATTTTAGTATTTTATCACAATCTCATATTTGTCCAAAAAATAACCTCTTCGATTTTCAACATTTTCTCAAAAACCATAGTATTAACATGTAGATATTATTAAATATTCTTAAATTACACACTTTTAGGATTAATTTGATGTAAAAATCATCCTCTTACTCTTATAAATACAGTCAGGAGAATTTTTTTAAATTTTTGATTTTTTATCCCAATTTCATTTTTAACCAAAATAAATTCTTCGATTTTCAACATTTTCTCAAAAACCATAGTATTAACATGTAGATATTATTAAATATTCTTAAATTACACACTTTTAGGATTAATTTGATGTAAAAATCATCCTCTTACTCCTATAAATACAGTTAGGGGAATTTTTTAAAATTTTTGTATTTATCCCAATTTCATTTTTAACCAAAAAGTAAACTCTTCCATTTTCAACATTTTCTTAAAAATTATAATATTAACATGTAGATATTATTAAATATTCTTAAATTACACGCTTTTAGGATTAATTTGATATAAAAATCATCCTCTTACTCTTATAAATACAGTCAGGAGAATTTTTTTAAATTTTTGATTTTTTATCCCAATTTCATTTTTAACCAAAATAAATTCTTCGATTTTCAACATTTTCTCAA